TTCAGCTAAGAAGATCTCAGTTCTGCTGTGGTGTTACACTGCAGAAAGGAAGAAAATAGAGATGACAAGTAGCTGGAGTACTTGTATGCTTTTTGGTAGTACTCTTGCTTTTTCTTAAAAAGGAGAGAAGCAAAACAGTATTCTGTAAGCTTTCCATTTCATAAGATTTATTTTTGTATTCAAACATTAGGTCAGAAAACAAAGAAAAGTTTGTCTGCACTATTTACATAAATAAATCTAATAATATAATAAATATAATAATGCTCTGCTGTACATGTGTAGTCAATAGTCCAAAATAAAAATAAAAAAAAAAAACCCACAGACCTCCAAAAAACCCAACCAAAAAAAAAAACCAAAAACCAAAAAACAAGAGAACACTTTAGTGATACAAAAAGCTAGTGGTGTAGGTATATATGTTAAATAATTAAATGCCAAAGATATGAAGTCTTACTGATTGACAGTGACTGCAGCTGCATTAACACATTAAATGTGCCACAGGCCATTCTTTTACTCTGAGGTCAACTGGCATAGAATACCCAACATGCTTCCTGTTGCAGAAAATGACTTTTTGAGGATGATCCTTGCTAATTTCTAAATTGCTTTCAGGAATTGTTTGTTTAAGTGCTAGCTGGCCTCAGGCAAAGTTGGGACAGGGACAGATGTTTTTAAGATCAGAATAGTGTTCGGGTGTCTGGAAGTGTTCCCTGGTACTCTTAAGTTTACTGCCTAAATTGTGGGTCTTGGACTGTCTGCGCTTCTGAAAGTTAGACTTTGATTTTCTGTGCTTCTTTGGCACTTTTTCCAGTACGTGTATGTGATTTTGAAGGTATGCCCACAAGTCCCCAGTAAAATGTATCAGTCTCATATTTAACTGTAACCATTCCAGTTTATCTGATTTGACCTAAACTGTTCAGAACCAACAAACTGCTGGTTGCTCAGAAGATACTGGTGAATATTATTTGACAGGCACAGTTAGTGATGAATTTGTGATTAAAAACTGTCTGCTGTTTGCTTGGATTTTTGAGTGAACACAGTAAGGAGTCATCTTTAGCATGCTCAGATGTCCTAGAAAGAGGTAGGAACCTTCTCAGATCACGTTTAGAGGTGTGGGTTTTGACCAGACCAGGTATTTCTTGGGTGCACTGTAAAGCAGATTTATTATACTAAGGGCTTTTGGAGAGGGAAAGGCAGATGGATGTTTTTGAAGCATCAGCCAAAGGAAACTGGTTGACCATACTGAAGGTGTTTGGCAAAGAAGGTATGTCAAACACAAGGTGACTTTTTACTTCTGTTCTCTCAAGACCTTTGGTAAAGATGATCTGTTCACCTTTTGAAAGTAAGAACTTTCTAAGTTCTAAAGTTTTTGGATTTCAAATGCTGATGTACCTTTATTTCCATCCACATGAGTACATAGGATGAACTTTGATATTTTCTTGAAAAATGTTTGTGCTGTGCAAAAGTGTGACAGTAGCTTTCACGTTTATGTTCAGAGTCAGAATGTTTCTATAATGTGTGAGTGCTGCTTGTATTTAGGTGTGGCATACTCTCCAAGAAAATTTATACCAAGTTTATCCAGGTTTCCAAAGCTACTCTGGAGTGGTTCTTGTTTTGTAAGGCACTAGCTAGTGCTTAAATAATAACAATCCTTAAATTACATAGAGTTTATGAAGCTTTAGAACAGGTAATAATCTACTTCAAATTATTTTTCTTAGCATAAATAAATGTGTGTGTATAGCTTTGGTATTGATTTAATTTATAAAAAATAAACAAGCTAGAAGAGGCAGTCACTAATGATAAAGAAAAACATTATAATATAACTGTTTTCTTTGGTAGCTGGAGGTGACTTAACTGTGTCCTTGACAGATGGTAGCTTGGCCACTCTTGAAGGAATACAGTTACAGCTTGCTGCTAATCTGGTTGGACAAAACGTTCAAATTTCTGGAATAGATGCCACCAGTATTAACAACATAACATTACAGGTAGGTTGCTCACAGTTTCTTGCTTTTAATTAAAGAGTCTCTTTGAGGGCTGAAGGGATTTTAAGGAGCATACATAATTCTGGAAGGTTTCCATTGAGTTGAGTGAGGCACATGGCAATAATGTGTTATATCAGGTGTACCATGTTAGAAAAACTAAAGAACAGCTGCACAGGACGGTTTTTCTCTGGTTTGTTTTTTTCTTTTTTAATTTTTCAAGGGTTTTTTTACCCCTCTGGGATTTTGGCAGATGGCTTTAAAATCTGTTTGGTTTTTGGTTTTCTTTTAATTGCATTTTGTCTTCTCACTTCAAAAGCATTCTAGGCTCCCCACCTAACCCCCTCTAAAGAAATCCCCCCAGAAACAAACAAACCCATATTATTGCACAGAATGTTCTTTTCCTTAACATAAGACACTTGCATTAATTGGCAAGCTTTTAATATTTGAATTCACAATTTAAATTCCCCTTCAGCTGGTAAAATGAATGACAGAAAAAGATGAAATGATTACATTTTAAAATTTGTATTTGAAATTTTGTGAAAGAATGATTTTAATGAACTTGATTGTGTTTGATCAGTTTCACAGAATCATTGAGGTTGGAGGAGACCTCTGGAGGTCACCAGGTCCAACCCCCAGGTCAGGGAAGGGATATTTTCAGAGTTGGCATTGGGTTGCTCATCTACTCAAGATGTTTTTAGCATAAAATGAAGAAAACTGGTTTAATTTCATTCTCCCCAATCCCCAAACATCCCTAAAGAGTAAAATGACTATCTGTAACTATGGATAACAGCTGTTTGACTGGGAACTGGGAACTTAGTGAGTCCTAGGAGCTGAAAAAATAGATAATTTCTGATATCAGTCTTCTCTCTGCTCCATGCTTCTTCACTTTCAAAGATCTAAAGACAGTGATAAGCGTTATGTGCAGCCATAAGACAGTAGAGAATTCCAGCAGTGAGGATACCTGGTGCCCAGCATGCTCATGTTTAACTGTGATCAAGATTTCCCAAATATTTTGCTGAGAGAAGGGAGGGAAGAATCCACAGGTGAAGCTGAATAGACTGTTCACATAGTGACTTTGGAGACTGGCTCTAAACAAACACATAAAAAATAAATTTAAGTTTAAAATGGTTAATTATGAAGTTTAAATATCCTATGTACTCTGTATGCAATGAATATGAATTCTGGATTTACGTTAAGAATATACACTTAACCCATATTTGTTAAATTCAGATTGATGAGGTTGAAAACTTGCTTTTCAGATCGACCCAAGTATTCTACAGCAGACGTTACAGCAGAGTAATTTACTTGCTCAGCAGCTGACTGGAGATCCCAATATGGCTCCACAGAATCCTTCCCTCCAGGCAACAGAAAATGCAGTGCCAGCTAATGTGGTTATTCAGCCTATATCAGGCCTGTCTTTGCAGCCCACAGTAACATCGTCTGCTAACATGACAATAGGATCCCTATCTGAGCAAGAGTCTGTGCTGACAACCAGTGCTAGTGGTAAGCAGTGCCAGTAGTTCTTGTGCTTTGAATTTCATAGTTTTACTTAGGGCATTACCCACAGGAAGAAAATCCTGCCTCCCTCACCCCTGCCAAATACCTCATTTAATAAAATAAGTCTACACTTCTTGTATTGAGCAAATTTCACAACTTTGTGTTACCGTTTTTGAAGATAACTTTTTCAAGAGGTGGACTATATAATGAAAATATTGAAGAATATTTATAGTCTTTAGAAAAATATAAAATCTTTATTCTGAAGATCTTAACCTGCAGAGGAATCAATTGGATATTAAAAAAAATATTCTTTAGAGTACAAGCTCTAGTGTCTTACATTTGCTACATCTTTTATAGTAGTTTAGAGAATACTGTATTAATTGCTTTAAAAAGTTGTGTCTATTATAAGGAAAGGATATTAATGCTTTTGTTGTTGTTGTTGTTCTACCCACTTATATTTAGGTGCACAGGACATCTCTCAAGTCATGACTTCACAGGGTATGGTATCATCTTCAAATGGACAACATGAGATAACGTTGACCATAAATAATTCCAGTCTGAGTCAAGTTTTAGCTCATGCTTCGGGTTCTGCTACCACAACCTCATCAGGAAGTCCTCAAGAAATCACTCTTACAATATCTGGTTGGTATTTTTAATGATCTTCAGTGGTACCACATCTCCATTTTATGAGGTAGCTATACAGTAGTGCTTGAGGGTATTTTCACAGTCCACAGCTTTCCTGTGGTGTATTTCTTTTATATTCATTAGCTTTGAAAGATACTGTCCAAATTTGTCTTTGAAAACCAAATACATTTGCTTGGAGAATGCAGGTTAGACTGGTTCCCTATTTTATTCATGGCCAACTGATGTTTTCTCTCAGTGGCAAAGCCCACGTAACTAGTTCTTATTTCCTTGCTGTGCCTCGCTTGGGGTAGTGGAACTCCTGGGTAGTACTGGGATGGGAGCAAGCAGGGCAGGCATTGGGGATGAGTTTATTTAATCTAGTTTTCTTTAAATTCCTGTGGAACCATGTTCTAATAGACTTTCTCATTATTCTTTGAGATGTACTATTCAGTCTTTATAATATGTAGTTAATACTTCACGTCTCTCTGAATAAATTTAGACTGACTTTCTTACTGCCTCTAAGAGACTGATCCTATACACACTGTAAATATCTATTTCCCCCAAAAGCAGTTTGGTTTTTGTTTTTTTATTTAATAGATACAGTATAATATTTAGTGCTTTTTTCTTTCTTTCCCTTTCTTTTTTCTTTTTTACATTTTTCTTTGCTTTTTTCCTTTCTTCATTTTTCTGTTTTCTGTAATGTGTTTAGTATTTTTAAGTGTCATGACAATAATGTCTGTGTTAAGGTGTACCTATGTTTTTCTGTTAATGGATGTTGAGTCATCTAAGAAAAATGGAGTATAGATGTGCAAAAACTGATAGAATCTGCTTTCAGTTTTGTGGTGGTTTGGGTGGATTCACCCTTTTGCTTGCAGCTTGCAGCCAAACACAGCCTGCTCTATCACCCTCCCCCCC